GAGGCAGCTCCTCTTCCGGCAGCGGCAGCGCAATGGCCTGGTTAGGGCAGCGCTGGAGAAGCTAGGTGAGGCCCAGGGGGGTGACACTGGGGACGCTGCCCCCAGGGACTCCAGCTGGACATCCAGCAAGCAGCCGACCAGCAGAGGGGCTGGGCCCCAGGGAGAGGCCCCTTCTCTGCCTGCTTCTCCACTCTCCTGAAACTTGTCGTCTTGGCATCAGAGAAGGGCCCGGAGCTGGGACAGAGCCAGGAGCTCTGGGGTGGCCTGAAGCAGGCAGCCCCAGCCATCCAGGCCTGCGTGGAGGCCTGCAACCTCATTGCCCGTGCGCGGCGCCAGCAGAGTCACTTTGACAGCGTAAGTCTGGTTGAAGTGAGGTGTCTCTGGAGGGCAGGGCAGGGTGAGTGGCGTGGCCAAGGCAGGACAGTGGGATGGGAAAAGTAGAGCTGGGAATGGGGTGGGGTGGGGGCTTCGGGGCTAGGGACCATGTGAGAGGCAGGTTAGAGATGAGCGGGAAGAACCTGAGGAAATGGAGAAAAGGCACCTGCTGGGAGCCCAAGGTTGGTAGAGGAATCCGGGGGGGCTTGGTGCCCCCGCCACTCCTCCCACGCTGCCTCCTGCCTCAGGGGAACAAGGAGTGGTTCCTGGTGGGCCGTGTCCTGGACCGCGTCTGCTTCCTGGCCATGCTCTCGCTCTTCGTGTGTGGCACCGCAGGCATCTTCCTCATGGCCCACTATAACCGGGTGCCAGCCCTGCCATTCCCTGGTGACCCCCGCCCCTACCTGCCCTCACCAGACTGAGCCAGCAAGCGCAGCTGGGCATGAGGGGGCACTTATGTCTCTAGCTGAGTCTCGGCTGTGCCCTCCTGCTGCTGCAGTCAAGGGTCCTTGGGGAAGCGCCCTCAGGCTATGTGAGCCAACCGTGGAGGAAAGTGGGAAATAAAGAGACAGAACTGGAGCCTCTGCGTGGCTGGAGGTGGGGCTGGGCTGGGTCGGTGTGCGATGTTGGGGTCAGCATCCTCGTGGCACTGGCCGCCCTGTCTGGCACTAACACTCCTCTGCCTACTACCCTGCCCTCACTGCGGCAAGGCATTATCAACTCCTACCTTCTCGAAGCCTCTAGAGGGGCAGTGGCCCATCCCTCCAGGCTGGACTGGCTTCCCGTTTACGAGTTCTCCCTGAAGGAGAGCAGTCAAGAGATGTGTGAAGAGCAGACACCAACACTCTCTCAAAAGAAGGGCAGGGCCAGCACCAACGCCCAGTGGTTAAGGAAGCCAGATCTGACATGGCAGACCTTGGTTTGAATCCCAGCCCCAGGAACTTGAGAAACATGCTGGGTGCGTGTGCAGACACAAAATGCCAACAGGATAGAGAACCAGAGGAGGAGGGACTATGTCTGACAATGCCACACTGGGAGTGTTTTCTCCCTGTCTCTGGCAAGTGCATGCATCTTCTGGCAATTAAAATAAAGAGCACCGGGGGGCCAGCAGGTGCCATGGTGGTTAAGGCACTGGACACTTCCTATGGCTGACCACTGTTCGAGTCCCAGATTTGGTGGCTTGCTTTCTCACTTTCTCACTTTCCTTCTCTTTCTCTCTGTTTCTCTCTCTGGTCAAATTAAAATAAATGAATGAATGAATAAAAATTAAATAATTAAAAAAATAAAGGGCACTGGGGCTGGCAGTTGGTGTGTTGGTTAAGGTGCTGACTTCCACACGGCTGACCACAGTTTGAGTCCCACACCTGGTGGCTTGCTTTCTCATTTTTCTCTTTCTCTCTCTCTGGTCAAATTAATAATAATAAATAAATAAAAATAAATAAATAGTTTTTTTTAAAAAGGGATTGCAGCCACCCCATCCTGCATCTCCCTCCCTGGCCCTTTGGGCGCTGTAAGTGCCCAATACTCACCTGCACTAGTGACCTTTCCATTCATGGACATTTCCCCCCATTAATCACGCTTTATTATCCTTTTCTCATTTTTTTTTGGGGGGGAGAGGTTTTTGCTATAAGGGCGCGTGCGCTCGCCAGACAGAGACATAGAGACAGAAAGTGAGAAATCACCCCCCAGGGGGGATGGCCATGCTGCAATCCCTTCTCCTCCATTCTCTCGGGATCTTGGGCACGCACGCACACGCACCTGGTGTGAGTTCTAAACCTCTGGGTTCTAAGCCACTGGGTCCGGGACGCGAACCACGGTTGACTACGTGGGAGTCCAGCGACATAGCCATTACGCTAACTGCCGGCTCCCTCCTTTTCTCATTGTTGAGAGCTCCTTACAGCATCATGAACAAGAGCCACGGTTCCCCCATATTTCGTATGGGTAAATCTGAAGCCCAGAGTATGAGGGACTCTCCAGAAGGCTGGCGGTTAAATAAGGTTTGGAGTCCAGAATTCCTGACTCTGACCTGACCTCAGACACTAAGAAAGATCCCATGACCTGAAAAGCAGACCCTTCCTCTCTCTCTTCCAAAGGAAGAGCGCCGCAGGTAGTTCAGGAGTCCACAGCGAGCTCTGCCTTCCAGGAGACCTTGCTGGGGCTCCCCTGGATCCACTGCTCAGGAATCAGAAGACCAGCTGTGGTCTCCCTGAGATAAGCCCCTCCTCTGAGGCCCAGGGTTCTGCTGGTGATCAGGGAGCAGCCTCAGTGGGTCACTAATGCTCTCGCCTGTTTCCTCTTCTGTAAATATGGGCCTAGTAATTATCTTTTTTTTTTTTTTGGAGAGGATTTTGCTATAGGGCACGTACGCCCTCCAGAAAGAGAGAGACAGAGAGACAGAAAAGCGAGAAATCACCCCCCCAGCGGGGATGGCCACGCTGCAATTCTTTCTCTTTCATTCTCCTCTTGGGATCTAGGGCACTCATGCACATGCACCTGGCGTGAGTTTAAGTCACCAGGTCTGGGACTGGAACCACGGTGGACTACATAGGAGTCCAACGATGTAGCCATTACGCCAACTGCTAGTCCCACTGTCTACTCTTATCCTAGGATAAGGTGCAGGTTAAGGTGGTTGGTGCCACATAAAGGCCTGGCAGTAGAACATGTCCAGGGACCTCAGAAATAGCCCTTCCTCCCATCATACAGTGGCTGGTTTGGGGGTTTGATCACAGGATCTAGGGTCGCATGTTGGGCGCTATGAAAACTTCAGTTGGGGAGACAGCTTTATGAAGAGCGGCCGGCTCAGGGAAGCCCCTCACTAGGTTTGTCACCCAGCGAGTCAACCTCTCTAAAGCCTCAGAGCAGGTTGGCTCTGTAATCCCAGGTATACAACAGGCACTCAGGGGGACAGCGGCAACGGGTGGTTGAGGGCTGCTGCGTCTTGAGGAATGTTAGTGGCAACCTGAGGAGGTCAGTATTGTGCACAGCCAGGGAGGAAACCGCCCAGGGAGGCTGAGCCCCGGGTGGGGTCGGCCCGCACCGCAGGAGTCAAGATCTGTGGCAAGCGGCGAGTCCAGAGCCCACGCTGGGCGCTACCTTTCCCTCTGAGGCGCAGAGGGAGGGGGCCGGGACGCGCCCCCTGGGAAGACAGCCGACACCCGGCCGCGGCCAGCAGCCCGCAGCCAGTAGCCAGCCACTGGG